CCTTTACATAACTTAAATACTTATAAAGTACTTGACACGTGAAAATTAGATTAGATTTTGATGAAATTCGTATTATTTAAAAAACCTTACGATTTAGGTATTATAAACCTTGTTAAAACAGACACTTATTTTGTTCAGCGAATACAAAAATGCAATAATATACGGGACATTCCATTTTAAAAAACGCAACTTTGATACCCTTAGAGCTTTTGGGACACCCTGTACATTACAAAAATATTTTTTAAATGTGCACCCGATAGCCATCTGTGGATTCATCAGATAATACTTTGCAAAAAACAAACGGGCTAGCCGCAAACGTCCGTGCCGTATAGCGTGAATAACCCTGTATATGTATTATGACATTCTAAACAATTCACTTTACTCACAAAGATTATTACGCTTATTCAACCTGACAGCCAAGTCTCTAAATATGGAAATACCACCGTCGTAATCACAACATAAAAAACCCCTCCAAGATGCAAACTTAACCATATAATAATCAAGCAGAAAATGAAATTTTACGACCTTGACGTAGAACTTTCCGGCTTTGGGGATATTGAGACAGTAGTGAGAGATCAAACAACAAAAGCAATGAGAATAGCTGGCTGTCTGAATGCCATATGGTGCAATAAGAGTATGGTAACCGACACTAAATCGAGGATCTACAAAACCGTCGTGAGGCCGGTGATAACATGTTCCGCAGAAACTAGGCCAGAAACAACGAAAACTGAAAGACTCCTAGAGACGGCTGAGTTAAAAATGTTTGGTAGAATCACCGGAAAGACACTGCTGGATAGAGAGAGATGCGAGGATATCAGAATAGCCTGTAATGTCAAGAACATCAGTAAATGGGTAGCAAACAGGACGAAGGAATGGAATGAGCACATAAGCAGGACGGACCTCCGCAGACCTGTGAGAATCGCTCGCGACAAATCCGCATTTAGACGAAGAGACGTTGAGCGCCCCAGGAAACGCGGCAGCGTCAAGCAAGTGAACAATAGTTGAACAGTAGAAGAAGTATCTGGCTAAGCTTAGGGAAAATTTCTACTTAAAAACACTGGGGAACCTGCATTAACACACGCCAAGAAATTTATTTTTAAAGTTTTTTCACGTATATACGCTTTGAAATGTTACTTTGAAAAAACTTTACATACATTAACACTTAATGTTATAACTTGAAGTCAAAGTCCCATCCTTCTATCCAATACGCACATTTTTATCCGAAGATTTTCATTCACATCAAACCTATTTCACCAGAAACAAATGTTAGTATTTGTGAACAAGCGAAAGTGACTGTGATATTTTTCTAAATATGCCTTTCAATAAAACAAAATTGTGTTTACTGAATCATATTTTGTTTACCATTTATTCCGTATTATTTAAACACTAATCCATAACCCATATTAAGGAACATCCTTATAGTGAATAAATTAAATAAAAAGTTGGAAAAAATGTTTGTAAATCTCGATCGTGACCCAATACAATTTTCCAGTCAACTTACTTATTTTATTCTATTATAAAACTTATATTTCATTTTTTATCACTAAAATATGTCTGTAAATCTAAGACACCCACCAATCAGCTCAATCAATCAATAAACTAATTTACTTAGTCACTGTATGGTTATGCAACCGTAATTAATTTGAGCTTCAACAATGTTTCAAATTAATAAGTTTCAATAAATAAATAAATTATCAAACATTTTCATCAATGTTTACTAGAAGGGTGCAACTGGTTAGCAGTATAATAAAGCATAATATCTAATATGCAGAAGTATGTACCATACACCAATAAATTTTAGTTTCCTTGGCAAACAACTTTCCAGTGATTCTAAAAGGTACATAATGTGTCTGGAGGGGTATAATTTTTTCTTAATAGCAAAATCGCCGGGTTAATTGTTATCAATAGGCAACTTAAAACTCTATGAACTCGAAAAACTCGCCCCAGAAAGTTTTGTAGTCATGGATGTGATACTTGAACATATTAGCAAAACACTTTTCAAGAGCGATGTAAAGCATTTAAAATCGTATTAAAAATATATTGACATAGGAAAAGGACGGCATTAAAGTTCCATTATTGAAGCAACATTACGAAAAGTAGTCCACATACAATTGCCATATTTGCTTTGAAAGGATGAAAGTTAAAATTCACTGCTTTCAAAAAATTTATAGAATAGCATTGTTGTAGCACTTATCAAAATTAGATTAAAAAAATAACGGCGTTTTTATTTATGTTTGTCAGTCCATTGCCATGCAATATAGAACATCATCAAATCGCTTCATCTAGATTAAATCCTTATCCATGAGCGTGTCATTAAAACAACTCCACTCAAGTGCAATCATTCTTGGCAGCCGGCCAGGAAGTTCAGCCGTTTCTAAAAAGTGCTAATCCCTCGACAATTCGTATTTATTTCAGTTAGAAAGGCAGGCCATATTTTCAGCTCGAATATAATGTAGTTAAATAATATATTTTGCCGATGAAAACGGGCGCTTCCAATCTACCTTTGTAACATTGAAAATGTTATGTATTTTGATGCCCGGCGTTGAAAAATCGATTAAGATTTAGAATATATTGTTTTCAGTTTTTTAGATCGGCGTTCACTATCACGACAATGTAAATATAGGACCTCATAAATGAGATTAAAAAAAATCAGAATTTGCTTTATTGCCTAAAAAACATTTAGACAAATTTTATGGACACAGCGAAAGAAAAACAAATCATTTATATAGCAAAAGCGTTTTTATTTGAGGTACATTTTTGCTTGTTTCCAAAACTTAGAAGACGTAGGGAGAGATTGAACATGGAATAGAAGAGGATTGTATAATTACTTGGCGTTGTAAATATTTTTTTGATTAATTCAGAAAAGGGTAGGCAGATATCCTGATTTCATTTCCTCATAGGGTACTAAACTAGGTTGCAACTTATCTAGAAAACTGGTTGAATATTTTCGTATCAAACACAGTCTCCCAAATGAATATCACAGGAAGCGAAATCATACGATATTTCGCTTGCTAAGTGGTACTTGCATGAGCTGCACTGTTCAGACGATCAAATGGATGGCAAGTTGCCCTTTTTTGCAGCTTAAAAAAATCCTTAAAATTGTCCGGTGTTAGAAGACCGAAGCTGATAGGAGATTGAAATAGAGCCAAGTAAGCGGGTCTGGTGCCTAACACCATTCAGCTTTTTCAAAACTCATCACGTTGGAAAATCAGCGGAAGGGAGTATAAGCGGTTCACTTAAGACAAGCATGTTCAATCCCAGAAATTGCACCGACTCAACGTGTTTAAATTTGTTGCTGTAAACTAGCAAAGTTTGTACGGTTCCTGCATAAGACTATGCTACCGTTTGATCAACACTAAAACCTGGAAAATTAGACTCAGACTAAGCTTTGGTCGTCACAAAATCTTTAAAAATCTTAGACTTAAGAGGCACAGTATCAAAATCACTTCATGTTATGCTTACGTCATCAGCAAAGATGGAAATTTGGCTTAAGCGGCGGAAAGTACTTAAGTGTAAGTAATTTCATTATTGTACACCAGAAAATAATAGGCCCAATTACAGAACGGTGGGGTCTCCACACGTAGTTAATCTACAACCAGGAACAGATCCGTTCGCTCTGACAAATTGTCGCCGATTTTCAAGATTTTAGTTAAACTAGTTGGAAGAAACACCACGCATTTAATAAAGTTCAGCTTTCCTATCAAAATGTTGTGACTCACACAATCAATCGCTTATACATAGTCACAGAAGACTGTAGCAGTGGGGTCATTGCTATTTAACGAGAAGTAAACATCATGAAGTGACGAAAACTTGGCATCATTGGTGCAGTTGTTGATGATAATATGCAATGTTTGAAAAAAAATGGCATGAATCGATTTCCTTCCCTTCCACGAAGACAAATAATTATCACAGTTTTGAATTCGCATTCGGGAAAAACTCCTCTCACTAAGAATGAATTTATTAAGTTTGTGAGACCATCCCAATCTGGAAATTGGAGGTTCAAGAGTATTTTACTTGATAGATGATGGGTTCAACAAGACGATTTACTTTTAGTTGTTTATTATTGTTGTATGTAGGACTTTCGTGTTGCAGCTGTTGGTTGCTTACGGGGCTTAGCAACAAGCTGTCAACGATTTGCTTAAAAGGAGGCAGAACCGAAAAAGGGTCGATGAAAGGTAAAATYTCAGAACTGAMACTATTACTCATGCTGATGAAGTCATTCGTATTTCGCATACCTACTYTTATTCAGGAGCTTTGCTTACCCTCTMAAATCATTCAATTCATGAGACGRTTTTGATAATATAGTCGCTTTACTRGCTTGATTACTTAGATAGATCTTCCCATAATTTGAAATAAAATCAAGAAATTGAGGGGAGTCGGTAAATGATTTTATATGCAAGAGAGAACGCATAGAAAGTTTCATCCCAAACGAGTAGCCGTTTCGTGATGCAATGTTTATGATGCACAGACTTAATATATAGTAGAATAATTGGAAGAATTGAAATAATTCATTGAAAAACCGAAAGAATCGAAAATAGCAGTTACATATTTTTGGGCAGCACAGGCAGCAGCGTAGTCAATATTAAAATCCCCACATACAATTCCACTGCAGTATTTAGTTACTGGAAAGAAGCCCTGATTCAAGGATAGAATCAAAGTTATCCCATGGGCAAAGCTTATCCAACTCCCGCAAAACCAAGTACATGTCATCAGCCTTGTTCCCCAATGAAGCAATATTTATAAGAACCATACTAAACTTGTCGTCGAGATTTGAGGAGAAGAATAAAGTTGACTACCTCTCCTACACGAAATGAACAATATTATTAGAGGCAAATCCTGCCGCTATATGGTCTACAATCAAATGATTTTGGTGATGCGGAAGCACCCAATTATCTGTGAGTGCTCGTAAGCTGAGGACTTGGTCTCTGCTGGAATTGAGGTACCTTCTGGAGGCGGCTTTTCCGTTTGTGAGGAAGATGAGACGAGTTGAGCTGCAGCAGCGAGCGTGTCATCTGACTCTTACTTTGCTGCTACAAGTCAGCATTTTTTTATTTCAAGTCCTTGGCTACCGGTTGTGACGTTTCGAAGATTAGTCTTCAAATATTGAATACACACCTTAATCGCAGAGCATGAGGAGTCGTGTGCCTTAACTTTGATTGATTCTTCCGTGTTGCTCAAAAGAACTTGAGAAATGGTTGCATTCCGACAAAAAAATCTAATATTTTTACTACAAGCGGTTAAGATTCTAAAGGATGTGTAAGTGTGTGGAGCGCAAAGATTCAGTTTTTAAACACTTATAATTCTGTACTTTTATTGATAATAACTAATTATACCTTTTAAAACAATTGAATATTTTCTCAACTTTAGTCACTGAGTTATGTATGCACTACAGACTTAATTAATAATTTTAGCAAGACACTGACGTCAGTTTTATTCACTCCATTATAAACCCATTGAAACGTGTCTATTTTGGCCCAACTAGCACACATTTTACCTTAAAAGCCTAACGGCTCGTTGTAGCAACAAAATGCAAGATATATTTTTTACTTGCAATAAAACAATCAATTTGAAAAGTAATAATAAAAAAATACAATGGCGTACCATTTTTTCCTAATCAGTTTCGGTAGCTTGCAGGTTCGCACGTCACGGCCCAAAATTCAGAATATTATTTTTTTGTAAAATATGCGTGTTTCCGATGTTAAAAAATATTTTTTATTTCGTATTTTTTAAATTACTGTTGCCCAATAAAACAACAGTGAGAAATAATGTTATTGAAACGAAATGCTTGTAACCATCATCAGCATAATAACAATAACACAATTGGGTTTCAAGTAATTTGCAGAGTTAGCATATTGCATTAGGTGCGATCATTTTTTAATCAGCTTTGGCAGCACAAACTACATCACATTACGCAACTTCAATGTAGCTGCTTCCAAGTAATTGTACCGGCATGAATAGAGAGCTATTCAAGTTGCAATAGGAAAACTCACTTTGGATTCCAACTC